TCATTAAGCTTTTAACTGTAACATACCTCCTCATTGACTACACTTTATATCTTCCCTCTAGAAGCCTGTTTAGCCTTAAGTATGGTTATAGGTCTAGAGGCAATGACTGTCGGTCCTTGAAGGACATCAGCATTGTCTTGCTTGGCATTTCCTTCAGAGAAAGTCACTGCTGGTTTAGCAGACAATGAAGGATTAATTTTCTCAGTCAAAGGCAGAAAACACACCTGCTGAGTATGTTTTCTTTTAGAAAGAGTATTTCTTCAAGTGAGATAAGCCCTTGAGAATCTCAGGGTTCAAAGTTCTCACTTTCAATAGGGTCCTCTAAGTTATACAAGCCCATTCTTTACCAATTAATGACTTTAATCACTGATACCCTTCAAGTCAGGGACTTGAATTTTCACTGTATGTTAGCAAAACTTAGGATGAGGGGCTTCAGTTTGATTCTCCACAACTTGAGCTCTGTGGCTGCTGGAAAGAATATTCCCTTTTAGGGTACACTTAGAAACCTTTAGACTGTTTATGAGCATCTGGAGCTGGACAATTTTATCATTGAGTTTACTGTTGTCCTTCACTGTATTCTGAGATGCTAGAAGTTGGTTAATTTTATCATGGAGTTCATTATTTTCCTTTGTCAATTGATCCAGAGATGCTGGGAACAACTAACCACCATCATCATTTTCCTTATTTTTCCACAAATTGTCAAAAGTTTTATATACAGACTTGGCAACTCCATTGCTTTTTACCATTGGTGAATCAAGATAATCAAATGCATTTTTGTCTCCTTAAGTTTGCAAAATAGTTTACACCATGGATTTTCGGTATTCTCTGATCTGCTAGGAGAGACTTTAGTAACTGAAGAGGCTTTGGTGGCTGTAGATGTTGGCAAATTGGAAAGCCTACTGAAAATTCTTAAGAAATCCATGCTTATACTGCCACTCTTGATACTAAAATCTTTATAAGTCAGGGTTCTCAAGATCAACAGAACTTATACAATGTATCTATCATCTATCTATCTATTTCTCTATCTGTCATCTGTTTATCTATCATCTATCTATTATCTCTCTATCATTATTATTGTTATTATTATTATTATCTAGAACATAATAGGGACTTATTGGAATGGCTTACAGGTCTAGCTAGTCCAACAATGACTGTCTACCAATGGAAGCTCCAGGAATACAGTAGTTGTTTGTTTAGTCCATGATGCTGGATATTTCAACTGGTCACTAGTATATACCAGAGTTCTGAAAAAGTAGGTTCTAATGCCAGTGGAGGGATGGACTTCCCAGTGAGAGCATTTAGGCAAAAAGAGCAAGCTTCCTTTGTCCACATCCAGAAGTAAGTGTGGCCCAGATTAAAGATGAATCTTCCCACCTCAAAAGATCCACACTAAATTTGTATCTTCTCACCTCTAACAATCTGGGTTAAAAATGGGTCTTACCACTTCAAATGATTTAATTAAGAAAATTCACTCACTGTTATACCTAGACACTTTGGTTTTAGTTAGTTTCAGAAGTAGTGAAGTTGACAACCAAGAATGGCCATCACAGCCATTATCAGCATGCCTTCCCAGCCACCATGGTCTGTATCATTCCCTTCCTGCTACCGTGGCCTGTATGTCATGACCTTCCTTGTCATGAAGATTATATGCCTATAACCCATGAGCTAGAATAAACTCTTTCTTTTGATTTGTCTGGCATTCAGCCACAGCAAAAATAACAATAGCAAATGCAGAAAGTGATGCTAACAAATGAGTTCATTGCTGTGAGCAACCTGTATCTGCCTTGTCTGCAACTCTAATGTCACATATACTTATTTTCTTGATAAACTGCCTATCATGTATGTCCTGGGGCTCCACCTGCTTCTCTCTCATTCTATGTAAAGCCTGGAAGATAAACTGCCTATCTTGTGTCTTCTGGGGCGCCACCTGCTTCTTGCTCTGTGTGTAAAGCCTGGGAAAGAAGCACGTGAAGTGACCATGCAACAAGCTGGAAACTATGGTTTCTTCATATTTTCCATTACTTTTGAATTTGGCCTCACTTGAATTCCTAGGACCCTTCACATTCCTCACTCAGGCCATGCTCTATATGATTGCTTCAGAGAGTAAATGAACTTGGTGGAATTGACAGAATCAGGCTATTGACCACCAATGCAGGATTCCTCAATGGATGCTCAGTTCTGGCCAATATTTGGTTACTATTAGCCTGTTTCAGGGTTTGTCAGTATTACCCTAAGTTAGAGGCTTCTCCAATCCAGTCCTGCTCTTTTTCCTCTCTCAGCTCTTGGGCTTACATCACGGGCTGGAGCCTCTCAGCTTACTCACCCTCTTCTTTTGGTCAGGCACAACAACTGCCTCCAAACTATTGGATGTTTGATTTCACTCTATTCTCAGGTGATAGGATTCGGGTAAAAGGAACTTCCTTTATTATTTTAAAGATTTTCTGTTTTTTACTTATTAATACTTTGTAAATAAAGAGAAGGGGAGAGAAAATAGACCAAGGCCACAGGTGAAAAGACTGTCCTTAAATTGGAGGAGACAGGAGGAAAAGGTACAATTTGGAGGTGTCCATAAATAGAAATTAGAAACAGAGAAAATGGGAAGACGGCATATGTTTGCATGCCTAAGCCAGTCTAAAGCTGAAAGCTGAAGTGGGGGAAAGGAAACTGGAAAGGAATTCTGAAATATCTGTGACTATATTAAATTGATTTGTAGTTCTAGGGTTATGAGTTTAGTCTGGATTTTTAATCGAAAAACAGAGGAACAATGTCATTTATTGCCTAAGAGAGAAGACAAAAATTTAGATTCATTTTAGACCTCACAGGGTGGGAAAATATGTTGGTAAAGTAAATTGGGTAAAGAATATAAAGGAAAGTTATTTTATAATAAACAGATTGATCTATGTTAATTCCATAAGAATTTATATATTAGAGACATTGTTAATATTTCTGTATGGCTAGAAACAGATGATGTAATGCTTAATGTGCTTATTACTCCCAATAGCTGAAAATAAATTAGGTCAATATCTAGCCAAGAAAGATTCAAAGGTAGTTAATTATTTAATAATAGGATTATTGTTTGTTTGAAATATTGGTCATATATAGTCCAAGTCAGCCTTGAACTTGAACTTTTCCTGCCTCATTCTCCAGAGTGCTGGGATTACAGAAATGTACCATTATGCCTTGGATACAATAATTTGTTTCTTCAAAATGAAAATGATCACATGCCAAATACTAGCATGTCAAGAAGAGGCAAAACCTTGAGTTTGAATAAACTGTGTGATGCTGTTTGGGTGATTGTTTTTGACAACTTATTGGGTACCGAGTGCCCCTGTGCTAGAATGTCACGAACTGCAACTTACATTTCACAAGACCACCTCTTTCTGTTTTCTAGTCTGTGGAAACTTGTTCAAGGTGAAGGGCATCACTCCATCTTCTGGTCCATGAAGGACTTGGATCTCTAATAATTCATTCCAAACAATCTCATTTGACCCAACTGAACCAGTTCAGTGTGGTCCCCCAGGGGTTATTTGAGGTTTCAAGCTTGTCCTCTTCCTCTGACTCTGTAATTGGTGGTAAGAAAGCCAGAGTTGCTGAGATTATTCAGGTTTGGGTGGAAACTTGCAACAGCAATGGAAAGAATAGAACAAGTCATGCTTCGGATGAAATGACTGCATCATCGAAACAAACCCAACATCTGCACTATCTCAGACCTCCAGCTTTGTGAGTCAGCTTGTCTGTTCTGTTGTGTAAACCACTTTGGGTCAGGTGTTTGATTGTGTCCTAACTGAAGAAACTCTGCTTCAGTAGCTTGAAATTCTAAGATTTGAATCCTGGTGCTTATAGACATAAAAACTTAAAAAAGTTGTCCAGTGACATTGATCATTCATATAACCATTTGAAAATGATCATGGAATATCAAGTTTTAAGTTTATATATATATATACACATATATGGAGAACAAATATAAATTACTTTGTTCAGAATAGTTATCTATAATGATTTCTTTCATCCCTGGTATACAACATAGTTTTTATACATAAATGCCAATTAATCAATTTATACTCTGAAATCATGAGAAATTTAAATTATTTTTTTCTAAAACAATCATGAACATGAATGGAATCTATATACAAATACATGTCACCCCCTTAGGTTTATAATAAGGATACTTGTGGTCTTCAGTCCAGCTGATACTTTTACAACATGACTCCTACATACAAGGCTCAGGAAACATTGAAGAAGGGAGGGAAAAACTGTAAGTTTTGTAAGACAAGGAAGTCTACTGTGAGAGTGTGTCTTCTAGATATGACAAGTAAGTTATGACATTATGGTTGCCTCAAAAAGATCTGGAAAATTCCAGCACCACTAGACATCACAGCATGGATGGAAGAACTCTCACAAGGCTTCCACCCATAGATGAAAAGCTATAGACAATTAATGACTGTTGAAAAATAGAGAGTTAATCTTCTGCAGAAATGAGCCCCTGAATTCATTATCCAATGCAAATGGCTACTCCTGAAAGCATGTGTAAAAACAACACAAAGTGGAATCAGCAGATTGTATTTACATATGTATTAACACATTTAATAATAATAATAATAATAATAATAATAATAAACCAGGAATTAGAGAGGGAGTTGGGGGAGGGCCTGGGAGGAGTTCAATGAAGGAAAGGGATGATCTAGTACTTAAATTAAGAAGAGGCATAATGGAAACAATTCAGTGCAAATAGATCTCCCAGAATCCTTTGCATACTGACAAACAGTCAGCATCTCTGTGTTTATCAGAAGAGTGCATTTTATAATAAAGCCTGGACTTTAAAATAATACGTGGTTATGGTACAAGCACTTCTCAATATTGTTTGGTAACCACTCTTAGAAGTTGCTTCTCCTGCTCATGTGTATGTTACAAGATGGAGACAGGGTTGGTTATCTCGTACGTGCTGATAGGGTTGAGAGGACTGCTCTGGCATGAATTAAACTTGTTATGAGAGCACTTACTGGTGTCCACTTCCGTCACCACGATTGGTTTGGAGAACTGAATCCGGAATCCCCAGGGGTAATCTCCAGTTCCTTTGAATAGTCTCACAGTGCGCTCACGAACTGCAAGGAAAGCAAAGAACACAATGCTCTGAGTTGACATTCAGTACTATACACTGTTACAGTACTGTAAAAGTGGCGTGTTTGCTCGTTGAGATTACATGTCAGGCCTAATAGAAAGGTTCCAAGCAATACTATGCAATCGAATGCACTAATTATACAAAATTCTGGGTTTCATTGTTATATTTTTATACAATGTGGTCTAATTGCATCTTTACAACAGATCATGATGATGATGATTAGTATTTAGAGAAGAGAATATTGAGATGTAGAGGTTAAGTACTCATGTCAAGAAAATAAAGCTTACTACTGTTAGGCAGCACGATACCTTAGGATTCATCCTTAACCACTCTGTCATAGCTACTCAAGCAGCATACAGATCTTGTAACCCTGAGTTGCTTAGATCTGTAAATAAGAGAAATTTATTACAATATTATTTGTTGGAGCATATTTGGGCTTTACCCAGCAGGTCTGCATAGAGAGAATGATTAGGACCACGGGCCTGAGTGCAGGTGTCTGAGATGATCTGCCCTTGGCTGTGCTGGGGGGAGGTCTTTTGCTCCACCCCTTGGCATTCCTTTAAATACCCTAGGGCAGTGACAGTTGAAACCCGATGGATTAGGATCCAGGCCCTCCCAAGTCTGTCCTATGTTTTCTGTGTTTTTCTCTCTCTTCTTCATTTCTAACTAAGTCTTTTATCCCTCATTCCTTAATAGTCCCTGGGGTAAATAAATATGGGGGCTGGTCCTTCACAATTATTCATGGAAATAAGAAAACTGAAACACATTCCACAAACTGAGGTTTTACAAGAAGCCAAGAAAAGTAACAGACCTGGCTCACTCAGAAAAATACCAGATCAATTAGTTTTGAAGAGGTTGGAACTGTTAGGTTTGGCTGTACTGTCACTGGAGAGTCCTAAGATCTTCACAGTTAGGGTGCACAGAGTTTGCAGTCATCAAGATAACTTCAATTACTGCAGCCCAGTTATTAATCCACTTTCCATCCTGCTACCTTCAGACCTTCTTTTCTGAATCATACTCTCTGCAGTGTGTGTGTGTGTGTGTGTGTGTGTGTGTGTGTGTGTGTGTGTGTGTGTGTGCTCCTCACAATTACCGCTTGTTAATCAGCTGAACTTATTCACAACATTACTCAATTCATTGACCCTTTTTACTCTTCTCTACCTCAAGGCACTTGTCCCTCTATGCCCACTATGAAGAACAGCCTCATAGATCACAATCTTCTCTGTTCAGAACGATTAAGGGTTGTTACTCCTCAGAGATGGGGGGAAAAGCACGATTCCAGATTGTGAACATCATGGGCATTTTGCCTTGGAGACTTGTAAACAGTAAGCAAAGAGTAAGTGATAATAAAGTATGATTGGTAACATTCCTGAGCTTCAGAAGTAGGTTCTAAGTAGCAGTTTGGCTTCCAAGTACTTGTGAAAATGCTAAGCAATTATAAGATAAGGATTTCAAGCTATTAAAAAGAATAGGGTAACCTAACACCTTAAAAATGGAAATTTAATAGGCTTCCCTTTCATAAAAAGTATAAATGCGTTAGAATTTCTGGGTAATAGATTTTGCTGCTTTTCTTCAACCTGCTGCTTCCTTTTCTTCTGTGGATGTTAAGCACATAGGTAGCCAAGGGAACTCATGAGACCTTGAAGTAATAGACAACAATGCTCTCTAAGGTGGTATAAGACCTTAGTTTTTAGCCTTTCACTTGCTGTGGAGTCTCTTCCTCAATATGGCTGACAGATGGCATTAGCCAAAATAATCATTATTATAAATTTATCTTACTTTGCAGAGCTTGTAAGATGATTTACTTGATTTTTCTCTCGGATATTTTGAGGTGAATGATTATATCTCACACTAAATTTCTTATGAGAAACAGCAAATATAGCAGAAAGCAAAGTATTCTGCCCAGGCACGCTCCATTGTGGACACCTGTTTGGTCAGATAAGGAAGCCAAGCATCTTACAGAAACAAGGAGACATCCATCCTTTTTCACAGGTTCATTGCAGTCCAAAGAAGGAGTTGTTAATTTACAAACACTCGCTGCACCCTGCCTTTCTCACAGGCAGTATCTTGTGCAATAGGACTGTACTAGAAAAGTCAAAGAAGCATCCTTTCCTTTGGATGCTTACGTGCTTGATACTTGTTGCCTAGACTGGCACTGCTCATGGGGGCGGGGGATGGAAGGATACAGTTTCTTCATATGGATTACAGAAGGGATGTTTGCTTTTGTAAAATGCCCGAAGAAAACATGTTCTTCTTCTTCAAATGAAGAAAAGCAAAGTAATATGTAGTGGGTAGCCGTTCCAGCTTTGATCTGGAAGTACCACCCCCTTTGAGGCTTCGGTAACTGTCACACCTACAAGGCGGGGCCGAGAGAGGACCCTGAAGACCTGAGATCCAGATGGGGGGCTCTCTTGTTTCCTGGACCCTGGATGCAGGAGGTAGACCGAGCAGAGTTCTCCAGAGAACACCACCGGACTGCACTACACCTTTCCCAGACCCTGAAACCTACCTATCCCTTCACTTGTCAGTTACCCCACAAAATAAACCTTCCTTTTAACTACGTGGAGTGGCCTTAATATTTCAACCAATAGTAATATTGCTGAAAAGGTGTTCAGTGGATTCTAGCCCTAAAGTTCTATGGTCTGCAAAGCTCTGTGCCTCTGGGAAAGTTTGTTACTCATTAAGGGAATTCTCTCTTGGCATAACTATTTGGAAAGTGTCTTACTGGATCTCATAATTTAAGAGGCAGAAGTGGGAAATTCAAGGACTTAGGAATTAATATTTCAACACTCTGAGATAAGCTGGTAGCTAATCAGGATGAAAAGGGAAAGCAGAAATCCATTTCTGACTGCTGTAACAATAATTTCTAACATCTCTACTTTTCAAGGTTTCTTGTTCCCTCTAGGTTACTCTCATGGTGCTATCTTCTGCTTTTGACAGATCGATTTACCCAACACATATTTGATTAATGGAAGATTTTTATGTGTTGAATCAAATCAAATCACATTTGTTGTTTTGTTTTTATATTTCATGAGACTATTAAAATAGCTATTGCTTTCAAGGCCATGTTTCTGTGGTTTTGATTTTTCAATCAAGCAAATTGAATGTCAACAACATGTATGAAAGAATAAACATTTCAATAAAGTCTTTAAATGGTGAGCTCAGCTGTAGAACTCTCCTGTGGGAGAACACAGTCAACATGTTTGTAACGTGTTCCTCCCCCATTCTGAAGACAATTTTCTCATATTTTAAGATTTATAGCCTTACTTTCCCATGGCACTGTCTAGTGAATAATCTATAAGTGCCACGCAGCTGCTGAGAAGCCACAAACGAATGTCATTGTTGTTTCACAGAATGTGGATGCATCATCAAGTAATTTATCCCTCTAGATGACACTTCCTTAGCATCATATTGTTGGTTGTAAAAATCCAAATAAAGGTCAAATATTTCCATAAAAATAACAAACCCACACACCAAAACACTCTACATTTTAATGTAGCTATAGCAATGAAGCTTTGCAGGGAGAGATCCCTTTGTTTGACTATTTTCCAACTCAGAATGTCTAGGAAAACAAGGGTTGAGTTTTGTTTTATAAGTATAAAATTTATTTATCATAAAATACATTGTAACACATGTAAATTAGCATTACAGTATTTTGGAAGTATTATTAGGTTACTAATATATTTTAGTTAAAATTTGTCCATTTGTCTGTGGCCCACTTTCCTAATGTCTACATTCACTTCTTTCTTTTCTTTTTTTTTTGGTTTTTCAAGACAGGGTTTCTCTGTGTAGCTTTGCACCTTTCCTGGAACTCACTCTGTAGCCCAGGCTGGCCTTGAACTCACAGAGATCCGCCTGGCTCTGCCTCCTGAGTGCTGGGATTAAAGGCGTGTGCCACCACTGCCCTCCTTTCATTCATTTCTTGCTCTTTCAGTGCTACTCAGTCAAGAAGACATGCATCCCAGCACAAGTAACAGTTGAAATCTCAGTAACAACAAGAGAAGTAGGACAGTTTCAGATGGAGGTTCAGTTTGAGAAAAGGCCTCCTGGTGCTCACTTGTAGAATGTGAACAGATTTCATGCACATTCATATATGCACATAAATACAAGCCTATATATTCATGTGCATGTGTGTATAAGAAGATATATATATAATATTGTATATATTATAATATATAATTATAGCATACAATACATAATATATAATGTAATGTCTAATATATATATATATATATATATATATATATATATATATATATATATATATGAAAGCAGTTCAATTCTTTCTTTTACCAATACAAAAAAATTGTACATTAAGGAAAACTCTTGTTTTTTGATGACTGGGAACACAGTAAACATTACAGTATTTGCACTTTTCTTTCAGACCTTATATATCATGGTTAACACCACACATATGAGAGGAGTAGTTGGGTTTTATTTGTTGTTATGTAGCAGATTCCAGGGGAAAAAAAGATAGTCAAAAATATTTGTTCATTTAGTAAGTGTATTACGTAATTAAATTGTGTGTAATTTACACATGAATATACAAATATATTTATGTGAATATATTTGTTATTCTGCACAAAACAAAGTGAGAGATAGAAACAGCCAAGATGTATAAAAATAGCTCATTTTAATTTTCATGTCTATAATTTCAAGTTTCATAATGCTATAAACCAGGGAGAAAAATATTAATGAGTATCTTTTATACATTAACATGGCTGGTGAGTTACTCAGTACTCACTCAGCAGTACTTTTAACTTACTCTACTTAAAGTCTTTTATTTATTTATTCAAAAACATGAATTGCTTTTCTAAGATGAGACAGGTCCATTGTAGGTGCCTGGAATCCATCAGTGAGTTTGTCCGATTTCTGGTCCCGAGGTTCCTACCTTAAGTCTGGGGTTCTCCCATTATGCCACAACTCAAATAAAAGTTATACATAAAGACTATTGTGTTTTTAAGATTACTTTTGGATCTTCATCATTGATCTTGTAATTTTTTTTAAAAAAAATTTCTGATTTGTTTCATTTCCTTCTTGTAAGAAAACTTACTTTAAGATTTGTCACATTTAATGTTCTTTTGTGAAGCAGGTTTTACACACCCCAGGCTGAGCTTACACTCTTGTAATCCAGGCTGACTTTGGATTCTTTTTAATAAAAATTATTTTTACTATTTATAATCATGGGGTATACCTGTGTATTTGGGTGGGGTGTGTGCATGTGTACGTAGGTGCCTACGGAGGTCACCTGCATCTGGAGTTACATGGGAGCCATCTGACCTGGCTGCTGGCATCCCAGCTCCAGTCCTCTGAAGGAACATTATGCACTCTCCTGAGTCATTTCTCTGCCCACAACCCTGCTTCCACTTGCTGCAAGCAGGATTTCAGGTTTCCCCCGCTTATACTAATTTTTACTCCATATCTGGAATCACCATTCCGAAGCACTAGCTCTTTTTTTTTCCCGAGAATTGTATATGCTATATATTTACATAATTTCCCCTCTCCCTCTCCTCCAACTTGTGCCCATTCCCCTAACTCCCTTTCAAATTCAAGGCCTTTAATTATTATTCTTTAATTATTATTTTTACACACATACCAATTTATAAATACAATCTGCTAGATTCTTTCATTTAGTGCTGCTCATATGTATGAATGTTTAGGTCTATTTGGAATTATATGACCTCTCAGTGGGCTTGTCCCTGAAGAAGATTGATTCTCCCTCTCCCAGCAGCCATTAATTACCTGTAATTCTTCATCGGGGGTGGGGGCCCTGTGAGACCTCCCCAATCCACATTGGCATGTTAACCCTTCGTGTCTTAGTTAGGGTTTCTATTGCTGTGATAATATATCATGACCATAAAGCAAGTTGGGGAGGAAAGGGCTTATTCAGTTTATACTTCCACATTGCTATTCACCACTGAAGGAAGTCAGGGTAGGATCCTGGAGACACAAGCTGATGCTGAGGCCTTGCAGGTGTGCTGCTTACTAGCTTGCTCTCCAGCCTGCTTTCTTATAGAACCCATGACCACAAGCTCAGGGATGGCACCACCCACCATAGTATGCATCCTCCCCCATTGATCTGGTTATCATGGAGGCATTTCCTCCTGTGAGGCTCCTTCCTCTCTGATGACTCTAGCTTGTGTCAAGCTGACACATAAAACCAGCCAGTACAACTGAGTCTTCTGTCTTCGTTAGGATTCCTATTGCCATGAGGATATACCATGACCATGGCAACTCTTATGAAAGAAAACACTTAATTGAGGTGGTGGCTTACAGTTTGAGAGGTTTAGTCCATTATCATCATGGTGAGATGTGGTGTCATACAGGCAGACATGGTGCTGGAAAAGTAGCTGAGTGCTCTAGATCTTGCAGGCAAAAATAAGTGAAGTGAGACACTGGGAATGGCCTGAGCATATATGAGACCCCAAAGCCTGCCTCCACAGTGACACACTTCCTCCAACAAGGCCACACACACTTCAACAAAGCCACACCTCCTAATAGTGCCACTCCTTTTGGGGGCCATTTTCTTTCAAACTACCACACCTGGTATCACTTTTTGTTCCCCCAGGAATAACTCTTAAAATAGTTTTCATTTTAATAATTCCAGATT